AAACACTACAAGAGTCATTCTTTTTCTTCCAGATTTTTAATGTGATGGAGAGAACAAAAACAAAGTCCATTGGAACAGCTGCAATTTCCAGTGACAACCAGACACAGATCAAATAAAAAAAAATAAAAGAAGAAAGGTTTCAAATGAAAAAAGGAACCGAGGGACTGGAATTGGCTATTTCACACACAGAGCCGACAGAACATCTAAATGAAACGTTTCATTAAATGCACAACACTGAGTGTTATTTACAGTGGAACTTGCAGTGTGTGTACGTTTATACAGCACTAGAATCACATACAGCAAATAAATTTCTTTCATTTTATTTCTTTTGCAGTTCCCAGGCTTGATTCTTCCTAAAAGCAGCATTTGCTAATATGAGGGTGAGAAACTGAGGGAAAAACTTTATGGAAATATAATGTATAGGGCTCCAATCTACATAAACCTAAAAATATACTCTTCGGTTTTGTGTGTCCTTTGGAAAGTCGAAGGACATAAACAGGGAACATAAACGCACCTAGGACCTCCTTAACAGTATCAGAGTATACTCTGTTGTTGGAGGTCTCAAAGCAGGACCTGGAAGAGACCTGCACACCTGCAGAAAGCTCGGCTCTGTGCAGCCTCGCTCTGTGTCCCTGTGTGAACCCAGCCTTGGGGCTGGACCACTCCCCAGCTCAGAGAACATCCCTCTGTGCACCTCTCCAGTATCACCGGAGGACATCAGGCTGCCTGACCACTCCCCAGTGTGCAGAACATTCAGCTCTGGATATGGGTTTTCCAACAGTGACCCTTTTCTTAGTCCAAAAGATCTGCACACCACTGTTTATAAGTCACATAGCATTTCACGGGGATGAGGATCATGTGGGCAAGGAGGGGATCACCCCACCCAGCCCAAGCTGCAGCCACCACCAGCAGGATGCAGCAGAGCCAAAGGCAGTGGCAGGAGCTGTCCTGCACACCTGAAGTAAAGGAGTAGGTATACAACAATGGGTTAAATCGACAGGGAATATAAGGAGGCAGAACTCTTACCGTAATACCACTAGTCTTTCATAATAATATCAACAGTGCTTTGTGTTCCTCTAAATGTCTGTTTCTGCATGCTCAGAAACTCAGTAATGAATTCCCCCTGTGACCCCCATTACACTGCTGTACAGCGAAAGCCATTAAGTCACAGCAGGCCAGTTCGGGTTCCCTAGACCCACCTTTCCCACGCCACAAAGTCCCTGGCTAAGTGGCTGTACTGGTGTGCCACGCATGCATGAAGCAGTCCAGCTGTCCTCTAGACGAGGTCTTTGGGATTTAAGGCAAGTCCCCTGTCTTGGTCCTCTGTGCCCCTGTTGCAGTGAAGTTCATGAATCCAAGGAAATAGCGCTCTGCAGAGATCATCAGTGGACACGCGGTCAGCAGTTTTCTCTGTGGGTGGTCCAGCATATCCAAGACAAGGAGACTGTCACTGTGGCAAACATAGGCAGCGGGAACCAATGGAGGAGGCATGCTGTCCCTTGCACTGCAGGTGTAGTGCTGATTTTACAGTAGAAATAAAGCTGAGCCATCAGAGGAGGTGCCTGATGAGAAATCTCCCCATGCACGGTGCTCCAGGGCTCTGTGGCTCAGGCTCAGCCTAGCAGGTAGCTCATGGCTTGAAGCCGAGACCCAAACCAAAACAGAGCCAGTGCTGAGGGGACTGGACCCATCAACCATTTTGCTCTGGGGAACAGCAGTGTGAAGCCTACATTGATATAGACTGTGACAAGGACAATAAACAAACACATCAGGAGTATTGACTAAGCCTTGTGCACACCGAATTTGGATGGAAGCCATCAGCCCAGGTGTCACAAAGGCAAATGCCTGAGCTGGAGCCGTTGCCCTGGATTTCTCTGTTATGGAAGGAGAGGAGCAGGGCCATCCAGGACCATCCATCTTCTTCTCAGCATGGTGCCTAAAAGTGGTCACGTATATTGCCTATGCCTTTCAACTGAGAATAATGGGAACCCAGGGTGATGAGTTCCTATCCAGACATCTGACTTGTAGGTGTCTAACGCTAGGCAATACGGTTTCCCCTTTGCATTTCCTTTCTTCCTTCTCTGTTCATTTTTGTCCTTTCCCAGGCCCTTGTGTACCAGCTGCAGTGTGTGTTTGCACTTTTGTGTTAGGTCATGAACTCCCTGGTGAGGTGTCAGGGATAGGAGCCTTGTCATGACACAAGTGCATCGTCCTCCAGCCCACAGGGGACTCACTCATGCATTTTAGGAGTGCAGAGTTTCTACAGTCGTGTGGGTAGCCTGTGTGACACTGAAAACAAGATCCTATGGCTCTTTACCTTGTCCCAGCTGATCTCTTGAAGGTGAGGTTTAGCAGCCTGTGAAAGAGCCATTCTGTAATGAAGGAAGGTTTCCAAGACTGGATAACATTTCCTGATATTACCTTACCATTTCTATCTCCTCAAGACCTCAATTTCTTCCTTCTCTGAAAATTAACAAAGAAATTTTGAAAAATAAATGCCGTCATTAGTGTCACTGTACAATGTCAGTGAACACGAATAGTCAGCTTTGCTGTCAGAGCACTGGATAGATATGGAACTAAGAGTGCTTCATAAAATAAATAAAGTCCTCACTCCACAGAGCAACACAACAGAATAGTCCAGAAAATGAAACAAACTTTTTTCCCAAAATGCAATATAACTGGCATGCACAGCCCAACAAAATGGATGAAGCGTAAAGACCATGGTGATCTTTTGTGTTGAAATACATATTTAACTGCTTCTCACCATGCAAAAGGACGAGACATTCTACAAGGAAAAAAACCCCACATTCTGGGCTGTAATTCTCAACAGAAGCTGTGAAACACTGCCAAAGGACATAATTACATTCACTCCTACCTTAGAGAAGGAACCTTGCTGTTTTGAAGACAAATCAAAAAAAGGCCCTAAGCTACCCATAAAATGAAGAAATGAGGCATAATAAGCTTGGTTATTACAGCAGCTTGTGATTTTATCAATTTCATAAACCTCAGAATAAATCTCAAAAATCCCAAGTAGCCCATTGTAGCCTAGCTGCTCCATAAGTGTTTATCCCTGATTGACACAATGAAAAAAGTGATGCTCATTACAGGGTTTTGCCTCATTGGCAAGGATTTGCTTCTTCTAATCTAACCACGCTCTGTGTCCTTCAGCTGTCCTCTGCAGCAGCACCGACACTGACTCCCGCAGTTGCGTGGGGCTGGCCCTGGTGTCAGCTCTTAGTGTATCTAACTGTCTCTGTGCAGCTGAAGGTAGAGGTGTTAGACTTCAATCCTGCTGGATTTCAGCCTAGCCCTGTGTGTTTTTCTTAAAAAAAAAAAAAAAAAAAAAAGGGGGGGGGGGGGGGGCGGATCCAAAGAAAGGTAAGTAGGAAGATCATTAGCAAAAGTACAAAAGAATTTTTTATGTCAGAAAATATCCTGGTGAGACAAATTCCCTGCATTATGTGACAAGTTTCCAATCAATTCTGGTCTATTGCTGAGCTTGTTGAAAGGGTATAATTAGTGCTATCTAGTCAATTGTGAGCATTGGTGTGTTATTTAACAGTATGCATTTCATTCTTGCTTCCCAAAAAAGTACATCCAAAAATACACAACTCACTTTGCTTCTAGATGCAACAGAATTTAACTCATATGATAAAAAGGGCATATGAATTTCAAAAATGGTCTTTACAGGATATCAAACTTAACTGCGCCACTTAATGGAGAATTTAATGTTCTGTACAGTAAAAGCTCACTGTGTGCATTCCCTGTGTAACAAGTTAAATGGCTTTAAGTAACTGTGCTTACAGTGCTTCAATGAGACCCAAGTATATAAGAAAATCAAGCATCATATTCTTTAAATAATATGGCTAAAATGCTGGTAAATTCACAATTACCATACTCTAGGTATCAGACAAAAAGTCCTCTATTTACACTGGATAATATGTACACATTTGGTTTGTGGAATGCTCCAACATCATATCAATTTGTCCTCTGTGAAAGTTGTAGGAAAAAAACCTCTTAATCATCATAGAAATATATATTCCCAGCCATCAGTGCATTTAAATATTTAGTGTCTGGATATAAAGAATGAAGTGTCACTAAATTGGTCATGACTGCAGATAATCTTGAAGTAGTGGGATTAGTTTTTAGTGTTTCTCTTAAGATCTTCTTAAGGGTGCAGAAATTAAAAATTATAACTTTCAATAGCTGATCACTTCAATGTGTGTATGTACGTTTGCAAGTATGTGTAAATACATATATATATATATAAAATTCTGTATATATTTCTTTCCCAGACCAAGAAGGTGCCTAGTGATTCTCAATGCCCATGTGAAGACAGTAAAGGGTTTTGAAACCCTGTTTCTTCTGAGGGAGCCGAGCACTCACCCTCATATCCTCCAGAAATCAGGACTCTCTCACTCTTTCAGGCAGTTCAAGTGGTAGCCCCAAAACCAAGACAGCTAGGGTCACTAGTCACATTTGTAGCTGTTGTCCCTACTGCTGGAGCTCACCTACAGTGGGTTTGTCACCTGCCTCCCCTTCGGATGCCCCTTGGGTCTGAGCACAGCTGATATGAATTGCCAAGGAGTGCTGGGCAAGGCAGGCAGTATCTGGCAGCTCGGCAAAGGCATGAGGGGGTCAGGATCTGTTCTCCCGTCGGACACGCTCGCACCCACGCAGGTGCACACATGCACGAAGCCACTGTTCGCGTGCTGTGTCGTTACACTGGGATGGAGAGGGAAAGGGTAGACTCCCAGTGTTGGCAAGGTTAAACCCGAGCTCTGCAAGGGGTGTATAGTAGCTGCATGCACCAGTTGTGGCTGTAAAAGGGTCAGAAACTAGGGGTTTCATTTTTATCCCTTTGGGCTCTTCTTTCCCTCTGCCCTCTCTCTTTGAGGTATCGACAGAACAGTATAGAAATGGATATTTTGATTTTTCCGAACATGGCTCTTTTTTGTTGTTCTTCTACATCCGCCTCCCAACCCCCTGGCCTCAGTTGCTCACATCAGGACCTGTTCTCGAGTCTCTGGCAGGCGCAAAGCAAGCAAGCCGCCTCCAACCAGAGCAGAGGAAGCCAGAAGGATGGGAACCACCTTGGTTATCCCTACGAAGGAGGCAAAGATTGAATTCCCCAGGATGGCACCAAACTTGCAAAGCCCATTGAGGATGCCAAAGGCCGTTGCCCTGCGGGGAAGAAAAGCAAAAAGCAGTGGTTAGGAGACAGGTTCTTGGCATAACTACAGAAGGTCAGGATGGTAATTTTGTGAATGCTTTTATGTTGCCTAGGCTACGCTTCCAGCAAGTAAAGCCAGGCACACTAAATACATATATAAATAGATGTCAGTGTTTTGCATGTCTGTGTGAATGAGGAGAATGTCTGTGTGTACTTGTTTCTCCTTTTCGTCTCAGCTTCTCCCTAGCCCTAGAGTGGCCCACTATGACAGCCTTTGCCCTCCCCAAAGACAGCATGACACAACTTGCTCTAGAAACTTGTCAAAGCCCTTCCAAGCGCTGGCTGGAGTGGGTTGTCACCAGAGAAACAACCAGGGCTCTCCTCCAAAACCTGCTGCACCCAGCAGGTAAAAGCACACTGCCTTCAAAGCACAGTTCTTCTCCTTCCCTTCTGGTTTCCCCCAACAGCCTGAAAAAGGTAAAACAGGCTTATAATGATGTCACGATGAAAGATTTCATCTGCAGCACATTCTCCCGAAGCTTCCTGTGCTGCCTCATCTCCCAAACCATTCTGTGCACATGGTTGTCTCCAGATTGTGGAGGGAAAGGCTGTCACGGTGATGAGCTATGACAAGAGGCTGAGGGATGCAGTCTGAAAGGCCAGACCTCCAGGCACCTCCATGGGAATGATAGACTCTGTATTTTATCTGTTTATAGTTTCCATACACCCACACAACTCCTTGCATACAAGCCACCATGCATACAGAATTGCGCTTGCAAATGTCTGTGCTGATCCCGTATAGCTGCAGGACTACCCAACCCTTAAGGACTGGTGGGGAAAAAAAAAAATACACCTCCCCCATCTACATGTATCTAGAGCAACTTTTTCCATCAGGAATTGAGAGGACAAAGTCAGATGGTGGAGATTAAAAAGAGAAAAACTCTGAGCACCTTTTGTCAGTGGGGTAGAGCTCCACAGTGATCACATCTAGGGCATTCCAGGCAGCAATGCTGGCCCCGCAGAAGAGGCACTGCCAGCCGATCATTGCCGACTCGCTGTTGCCAAAGAAGAGAAAGAAGCAGCACACTGCCGAGATCAACATTGAGCCACCTACGGGGGGAAACCAAGAGAAAAATGTTGGCACCAGTTTCCCCTCTCCACAGTTGAGCAAACACATTTGTTCATAAAGATGGTTTTCAAGTGATGGTGTTTCACCCCAAAACAATTTAAATCTGCAAGAATCCAAAAATACCTTGATGCTGCCTATCTGTCATTCTCTGATGCTGGAAACCAGCCTGAAACTGTTCTCAATGACCATCTGATCTTGCTGATAGTCCTGCTCTGCAGAGACTCTGAAGACAGGCTTTTCCAGGCAGGTTTCCAGCATCTCAGACATCCAGATGGACCCAGAAAGAGCAGAGGCAAGTAAACATGAAAGTCAATGAGGAGGAAGAATCGTTGTGAAGGTTTTCCAACTTGAGTTTTGAGTGAAGAGCTGGTGCATTTCATATCATATTGAAATCACTTGACACATTTATAGTTTCAATTAGGATAATTTACAGTCAATTGTATGAAGCACTTGAGGTCTCTTTTAATTATAAGAACATCATTAGATTTCATGGCACATTTGCACAGGAGCCATAATTTTATGAACACCACCGAGGGAGAAAGTGAGAGCATTCATGCTCAGTTAGGCACAGTTCAGATTCAGAAATACTAATGGCTACATCACTGCCTTCTACCCCGTTGGGAATTTTCACCTGAAAGATGCAATTTTTGCAAAATCCAATTATCTTTCACTAGAAAGTTCTGCTGTTGCTGAAATGTCTCCATTCACTACCAGAAAACAAAAAATGTTGGGGGTTTTTGTTTGCTTGGGGTTTTTTGAATCAATTTGACACCATTCAAAATAATTTGGATGCTGAACTGGAACTAAAATGCTTCATTTTGGACATTCTGTTGCATTTTGCTACTGCAGTGCCCTGCCTATGAAAAGCTGCGGTGCAGGACTCCATATCCACCTCTCTTCCATGGACAAACCACATCCCCCACTGTGCAGTATGGACATTCTCTCTTCTGAAGAGGTACAGTGCGGCATCAGGGTCACTGTGTGTGCACCAGGAGATCTGACATTTGGCACAGGAGAGGGTTTAGCAGAACATGATACAACTGAAGTCCCAGTGAGGCATATAACACAAAAGCAAATTTCAGTTTTCATGTTAAGCTGACCAGAAATAATATGTTCAACGGAGTGATACGGGTGGGATGCCAGAAGGCTGTTTCAATTGAAAATTCCATAGTGAAACATTTCAGCATGTCGTTACTAATTTTTGTCCCGTACCTTTCATTCTACAGAAGAAATAGCATTTAGGATTCCAGCTGTCATCTCAATTCCAGATGAAAATGTTGAAATACTGACATGTTTGCAGGGTGGAGAATCTGATTCTTATTCAGCTTTATTTATTTCCCACAGACCCTCTGGTTTGTTTGGGTCTTTTCCAAATTCACTGCATGAATGCTTATTCCCGCACACACCCCACACACCCCCCCGGCCCCCAGCATACATTCTTGACACACTGGTGGGGTCATCTTTCTTACCTTAACCTGTCTGATGGTGAGGCTAAACTAACTAAACTTCCTTCTGTTCTCAGAATAGAGGTAGCTAAGCTCAAGAGAGTGAATCATCCCTTACCCCTGAACCACATCCCTGATTCTATTAAACTCACTTGGCCGTCCCTCAAGGCATGATTCTCATAGTACTTGGAGAGCAAGGTCTGAATCCTGGAGGAAGCAACACTAGAAATTCCCAAAGTAATCATGAAGCTGATAAGGTGATAACTTATTCCCACAGCGCTAAAGGGTGGCATCTTGCTTGGCTGTGACATAGTCAGTTAATCTACCATATGCTCTCTGAAGCTGTTTGTAAAATCATTTGAAAATCAGAAAACTGAAAGAGGGAACTCTGGGCTGTCAAGCAGCCACATCAAATAATCTTTGTGAATATTCATTGCTACAAGCAAAGTGTTTGTTTATTTATACAGAGTGCTGTGGACATCAGCATCAACTCAACAGCACCAAGAGGTCCTGCTTCAGCTCTGACCCTGTTGTGCTGAGAGCTGGATAAACATACAGGCTTTGACATGAAAGTCAAAATAAAAAAGGAGGATGTCACAGATAAACAGAAGAGCAGGGTGGGTAGGCAGGGAGCAGGAAACTTGCCCACTGCCACAGAGTATATCACTTGCCTCACCCTCGAGCCCTTTCACCCTTCTGCTACATTTGATATGGGAATGACTCATCCCCACCTGAGCCATCTCGACTTGCATTGATGCGTGCGAGTGCAGCGAGACCTTCACACTGACCTTGGCTCTTGCAGAGTTGTGCTCCCACCCATGACCTGCTCCATGCACCCATCATCCCCACTCACCGATCATCTTTATCCTCCCTATTTTGTCCATGAGTAATGCAGAGATGATGTTCCCTGGCAGCACAGACAGGCTGCCCAGGAAGCTGACCAGGTAGATCAGGAAATCATTGTCCTCCTCAAAGTCCAGGTGACAGCCTTCCTTCTCCTTCAGAAATGTGCTGTTTATGAGCCTGCAGTTGATGAATTTGTGTTCGTAGAGATCTGCGAGGAAAAGAGTCAAAGTCTTGATCCTGCTTGACTGATTTCCCTTCATGCAGCAGCAACAGGAGTCAAGAGCAAAGCCAAATCAAAGATGTGAGAGGAGCTCCACATCAAATGGAAATGGCCAGGGAGTTTTTATTTTAGTGGCAAACTCTAGCTGCATGCTGGTGGGTGTAAGCTCATGCACTCTCTATATTTATGGAGTCACCTGGACCAGTATCCCCATGCCACAAGGATGGGGCAATGCAGGCTCTTGCTTCCATGTCGTTATGGTTTGTGCTTTATTAGAGTAGAAATGAAAGCTTTTTCAGGATAAACTAATGAATATTTTACTGCTTATGATCATCAACCACAGCTTGGTTAAAATAATATTTTAAGCCAAATTTGCTGATTTGAGCTGTTTGTTAAACTGCTAGGCATTTTGCCATTACTTTAACCTGCCAAAGTCTGAGCACAGACTTTTGTATTTCCTGTGCAGCAGCCAATGGCACCAGAAGCCACGGGGTTAGAAACACTGATGGAGCAACCTGAAGCCTCCTTCGGAATGCATTTGCCATCATCACTCTCATTACCCAGCACACACATAAACACACAGATCCCTATCATCCTTTCTCCTGGAATCTGATAAAACAGTTCCAAATTACAGAGATGAGACCATAGCAGGAATCCCATTACCAGTGTTATAAAAGACAGTAGAGATGATGGTGCAGTTTTCGAAGAAGGTCTCGCTGGATGTCACATCTTCAAAGTAGCATTCCTCAAACAGTGAATCCTCAAATCTCACTTCCTTGAATTTCATGCCAATAAATCTGTGGGGCAGGAAACAGAACTTCACTCTGTGCTTTAAGGTATTTTCTACACTGTATAGCATGTAATGGCTGTTGCAGGAGACAGAGCACTAATGGCAATTTCTAGGGTCATTTACAGGAAAGGTGTTGCATAACTGCCCTTCCAACTCTGTGCTTACATATTCTGTATTTTAGTTGAAGAAAAGGGCTTGAAGAGAGTTGTTTGGTTTTTTTTTTTAAAGAGAGAGATGGCCTTTTAGGATTTCTGGCAATTTTTCTATTCCTCAGAACGGTCACACCTAAGAAAATGTGCTTCTAAGGCTGAGTGGACACAAATCCTCTCACGGTCAGTACTAGTCCATCTGAAGAAGACATAATTTATTTCACTCAGTGCATGGCATTTTCTTTGTGGGCCGACCTGGCTGCTTTCCTTATTCTGCCCCTTCCTCCAGCATAAATAAAAATAGACATTATCAGGAGCCCAGTGAGCCATTTAGTGAAAGGCTTCTGACAGCTGTTTAAACACAAAGTGATTTTTTTAAAGCAAAAATGCAGTAGAGTTTCTAGAGAGAGTGGGGAGATTATCTGAGTTCTGCTTGTAACCAACTCTGTTCAAGGACTATTGCTTATCATGTAATGAAAACAGATTACACTAAAAATAATCAACTGTGTCAGGTGATTGATTTCTCCTCTGATGGGAAGCTTGACATGTCTGACCTGCCTGCCTGAAGGATGACACAATATTGATTTACCTGTGAAATTTTGCAGGGACACCGGGAAGATGTGTTAGTTAATGCACAGGCATGTTTGGAAGATGTAAGGAGCTATTAAGAGCAAGCATTATTGCTCTAGTTAAGGAGGCCACAACTGTCACCAAATAAAAAGCCTTCTAAAATATACCCAGAAACCTAATTGAATTGAGCACTTACAACACAGTCGTGCATGATGGCTGTTTACACTGTTAAATGAGCACTGCAGGGCTTCTTAACTGAAGCTACTAACAGATATTATTAATGCACAAAATACCACAAGAAGACAATTCGAGTCTTTTGCTCTACATAGAAGGTCTCATAGGTTACAGGCAAACTTAAGCTGTTCTGCATTTGCTCAGTAATCGCCTGTGATGTATTTACTCCCGAAGGCTGTTAGAAGCCCTTTTCCTGCAGTTTGCTTTCTTAACATCCATCTTTAAAAGAGTTGTAGAGCAATGGACTGGTGTTCAATAGAGTTTTAACTCACAGCCAAGGACTAGAGGGAAAACACAGCTATAAATCATATTGAGATATGCCAGGGCGTTCCTGGACTGTAGCTTGATCAGGTTTTGAAGTTTTGAATAGGAGAGGGCCAAGGCAGGAGAATGGTGATGTGCATCACAGTTTTATGTCTTCATTCTGCAAGGTGCTGAGCATCCTCAGTTCTCAATGAAGTTAGTGAAAACTGAACATCTCCTCTGGCCATAATATAAGGGTCCCCAATCCCTAAATTTGACCACCATCCTCTTCTCACCAGACTTTGTTTGGCTGCCCGATAGTCAGGGGAATAGGAATTATAGGGTGAGGTTTGCACCACCAACCACAGCTCCTTGCTGCAGGGAAGGTTTCCAGAAGGACATGGGGACACATGCTGGGGTCATCTACTAACATCTATCAGATATATGCCAAGGAAATGGAGACAAATAGTTTCTGAGGGGAGAGGAACAACCTGGCTGGGCAATGAGGTATGGTTTCACCCGTGAAGATTAACACAATGAGTGTTTTGTGTAACAGTGAACATCCAGTGGGACCTCCCCACATAGACTAGGCAGGGTGTTGCTCCAGCTGCCTTGCGTTATCTGGTGCAATGGGATCTCCACAGAATTTACATAGGGGTATTTTTCCACCCATTTTATTGGGATTTAGAAAAGTAGTAATGGCCGGCTACATATCAGTATGATTTATGTTGCTGTGAAACATAGAGTGATTGGGGTCCGGGCTGGATGCAGAAGAAAAAGCACCAGGTCTAGTCCAAACAGGAGAAGAAAGGGACAAAAACAATGATGTTCTGCTAAAGTAACTTCACTGACTTCAAAGCCCTGAAAGAGAAGGTGACACACTCATTCTGTGGGGAGATGCTGGCCAGTGTGGGAGAAGCACACCAGTCCAACTGGCCATGACACAGCTCGCACTAATGGGCTGCAGGATGGAGGCTGGGGTAAGTCATATCGAGGACTTCAAAGGAAAAATAGCTTTTCATTTTGGAAATAGAGCAGCAGAGTGGTTTAAGTTACAAGTGATGGTCTCTGCTGCCCAAGACCAGTAGATGTCAGTGTGTGCTCAGGAAAGAGAAGTCACCTCTGCGTTCAGAGTTCCCCACAACAGCCGGGTGGGCGCCCACTGCCCTGCTCCCAGCAAGGGGCTGTTGAAAGCAGGATTCCTCACATGCATCCCTTTGGGTCTGGAGATACGAGCGGCTGAGGCAGAGTGTGCGAAAAGCAGGATAAAAGGAATATTTGGTCTGTGGAAAACTGCCTTTGGGATTTGAGAGATACAGGCTGTGTGTCCAAAAGAACAAGAGAGATTTTCAAGTTGGGGGGAGCAGGGGGGAAGAGAGCTTTCTAGAAATGTATTTCAGTTCACATGCATCAAACCAAATTCTGTTCACTTACTTGTCATTTCTGTATTCCCCATTTCTATGGATTTGGTTTTCCAAGGTGAAATTAAATGTGAAGTGTGACACTTCTTCCTCATCAAAGATCTTCACTCGGGATTCATATGCCTCTTCTTGGAGATACCGGATCATGTCAGGGAACCAGACAATAAGGCCATAGTAACTATGGCAGGATGGGAAACATACATTAGGGGTATAAGGTACCAGCAGTCAAATATGGCAGTGTTTTTCCAATGATCTACTTCATAATTTGTAAACTTGTTCACCTAAAGCAGGACAACTCATTTAAAATTTAGCGACATTGACTCCTTGGCTGGGAAATGCAGCACTGTGCTATCCTTGCTGCCCAAGAGACCAGCAGAGCAGTAAGAAATTTGCAAACTCCCCCAGAAGGCAGATTTCTACAAGTGTGGGGTTTAAGTGAGAGTTAGATAAAATTTACCTGTAGTTTAGATTTAGGCTCACCTGAATAGTTTTTATCTAGACTAAGGAACAGCTGAGACTCAGGTAGGGTTGTAAGGGTTTTTGTGTGGACAAGATCAAAGGAAAGATCTAGAGGTGAGAAAGTCAATATACTACTGCCCTGCTGACCACTTCTCAAGTCCTGAGTTGTTCAAAGCACCTCGTACTCTCATATAAGCAATCAGATTGATCAATAGTTCATAGAAGAGCAAGACTTAGTACACAAAGACTCTTTAAAATAAGACCAGGATTAATTTCATAACAGTTTATTTAAATGCATAAGTAATTATTCAAATCTTGAGGTCCCTCTAGTTTCATGAAAAAGTCAAAGTACCACCTTACCTTAAGGCCATTGTAAACCAAACCACAGCCAGCATCAGTGTGTTCATCCTGTACTGGGCTGTTAAACAATATAGCACGTTGTCCCAGACCTACAAATCCACAAGAAGGAATTAGCTGCAAGGACACCCTTGCAGACACTTCACAGATTGATTTCTGAATGCATCATAAATCTAACGTCAGAAAAAAGGGGTCATTGGTGTACGGTCAGATGTGTGGCTTATATTCAGTATTTGTTCAAAATTATCAAGGTAAATGGCTTCCAAAAAGATCACTTATTCAGCTATGTACCAGGGTACTTGATCTGAACCTTCTGTAATGAGCTGAAGTGCATGACTAGGACTGGGCTGGGATGATGCAGTGTCTCTCTCAGGTTATATCTGTAAAAGTGGATATGAGCCTCTTCTCAGACCCTCTGACAATTTTGACTTTTCAAATATATGTATAGTCTCAGGGGTGCTTTCAAACCGAGCTCCAAAGCTCACTGAAGAGCAAAACCCCAAACACAGCTGGCACTTTAGGAGAGGGAAAATGAACTCAGATAGGGATGAAGCCAAGCACAGCAGGAGGCAGACCAAGATCTGCCCCTCTTGACCTGTTGCAGAAAATATTGCCAGGAACATGAGGGCATGTAACTCCTCAAACTCTTAACTTACCACATAAATATAGTAATAGTATAGCACCTGCATTGCTATTAATTAAGAAAGACTCTAAGCTCACCCTCCTAGTCTAGAAGATGTATCAAGATTTTCTGCAAAGTTCTGCATGGGCATAGGTAAGCAGCATAGCATGTGTGAAAGGTTAAATTAGCTGAACAGACAATAAAACATTGTTAGAAACTCAGTCTCAGACTTCTGAATCCACGGCGGGTGGTAAACTCACTTAGGCTTGGGGGAGAGGGAGTCAATATTTATCTGCTCAGAAGAAGAGTCAAGCACTTGGGGCTGTGGCTTGTCCCAGGAGCTCTGCCATTAGCCCAGCTGGACTACCGTAACGCTCACAGGGGCATTTTGGGGCCTGGCTGGCAGTGTGGCAGTTTGCAGATGCACACATCTGCATAGAAAGTACGACCAGATTACAACCCTTTGCAAACACCAGCAGATTTTTTTTGAGTGAGAATCAGGGTTTCAAGATGCAATGACTTGAAGCAATGAGGCACTGGAGCCCAAAGCTCCAAAGCTCCGTGGGATGGGTTTTCTTCTCCTTACCTGTTTGAAAGTGGTCCTGATTCTGACCAACCACCGCTGGTACCAGGTACCTGTTGAGCTCTGAATTTCAATAAATTCATCTACTTGCTTTGGAGTCTTGATATAGGAAACCTAAAAAAACACAAAACCCAAAACCACACCAAAAACCCAAAATAAAAAAGAGAGAAAAAATATTGGACTGACATTTCCAGAATTCATCTTGGGTGCATTTTAAATTCCACTGTCTTCTGGGCAATGTTTCCACCTGATATCCCTTACTATCTCTTCCTTTTATGTTATCACTAAAAATTGAGCTAATTGATGTAATTACAGAAAGAAGCCTGTCCTCCTTCCTGTCCTCCATCCTTTCTCTCTCTCCTTCCATGAAATATTTTAAGTGCATCCCATCCACTTCAACCTTTAATTTGTTGGCTAATTGCCTGTGTAATACCTTATTTCTTTATCTCTTACATTCCTACTAGAAATTAGAACTAGGCAATTATAGTAAAAAGTATCTCCATGATCAGCCACTTGTATCCACATCCAACTGTGCCCTCAGGGTCTCTTTCTTCAAAGACGACTGGCAGGAATATTTCTCATTCAGCACCTTTTCAGTACCACCGGCAGAACTTCTGTGACAAACAAATGCATGGATGGGAATCTTTGCATCCAAAAATCAATCCTGTCATCAAGTGAGCCCACACCATGCAATCAATTCACTCCACCAAAACAGTCTGAATCTTCAGCACTGAACACCTGAACCAGACTGCTCAAGAAACCTTAAAAATGAGTCCCAGAAAATATTTGCTCAGTAACTTTAAATAAAGGGCATATTCAAGGAAACTAGATCTGTTTGTAAACATGAGAAGGAGGTGAAAATCTACTGAATAAATATCTGAGTATGAATGGGCGCCTTGGCTCAGCTGTGGAGTCTCCGTGTTCCTCTTGCTGGCACCGTTTAAATGTCAGATCTGGGAACTGTCCTGGTTACAGCTGACTCACCACAAACCGGCAACTTCTGGCCTATCAGAAAACCACAAAATCTGACAGTTTGTGCTACACCAGCCACACTGATCATCCACCCATGCCAATGGATGTCAGTAAATCTTGATTTAGCCAGCACACCGTACCTCGAGGTGTGATACTGAGACCAGCTTGTGCCGTAGCAGTCATGACACTGTTGGATGGAGTAATGAGCACTAATGCTGTGCAGCTGCTCCTTCGTTCTCCTACTCACTCTCATAGTGCCCTACTTATATATATGTATATATTATTGAGTTCCAGTCCTCTTTTCCTCCCGCCACACGGCAGGATTGGCCAGCCCAGCTCAGTGTTTCAGCAACGCAGGAAGGGATTTAGAGAGATGGCCTCTCTCGCCTTTGCTATCAGGGTTCACATTAATCAAATGGTTGGTAACCTAAAAATAACACATGCTCATTAAGTTCCTACCTGAACCTGCACACAATTTTCATGCACTGATATTAACCTTCAATTTTCTTGAGGGATCACTCCCCAGGGGCCCTGTTTTGCGACAACCCCTCTGAACATGGAACCTTGCTCTCCTTTTTCTTCAAAAGGATATGTTTCACACACAACCACCATCTCCTTTTCTCCATCCTTTAAAAGTGCATGTCCTCTCATCTTTAAAAGCATAAATCAAGAGCTATTCCCTGGCTGGCTCACTGGAAGCTTATAACTGAATTATAGTAATTTGCCACTAACCCCAGCACACACCTTTTACCTGATTTTACTATTAACGAAGTCCACTGGTATGACCTTTTTCACAACAAGCAGCAGACTAACGAGTAATAGCCACTCATCCCCCTTTCCCTTGGAGAGATTAAAGATTGGGTATGAGGCAGGTGGAGTTTAGGAAGCTCATTAGAAGGTACGGAAGTTTAATCAGAGTTTGATTAGAAGCCAGAATGGAGAAAGGAGTGACTCAGATCTCCCACATGACTAATACCTCTCTTATTTGGTTTTAGTCTCTTAAAGTAGACCAATTAGGCATGTGTGTAATTGGGAAATCACTCATCTATATGCTGTAGAGTAACACCAGGAATGAGGAGTACTCAATGCAATTCACAGGATTAACTAAATCTTGAAAAAAACAGACTGGCATCTAACTTTAATAGCACAAAATGTATCTCAGAGTCCTTTTTCTGATTGCTGGGGGAGGTCATGTTGAAAGAGACTCAAGGAGGAATAAACTGGTGCTGTGCTGCACCAAGGAAGATATGTCTAGCTTTTAAAATGCTGATGGATTTATTAAACTCACCGTAAACACCCTCTCTGGCTCGCCCTTGGCCCGCATGTTGGTGTCATGAACATGCTTGAGGATCATCCAGGCTTCATCATGTTTACCTATCTGAAAACACCAAAGAAAAGGAAAAATAAATGCTGCAGTCACTAGCTCTGCAATTTACTAAAGCATAGCGAGAAACCAATTTGAGAAGTCCAATATAGTGGAGAAGCACACATACAACACTGGCCGCATTAAACGCCAATAGCTGAAAGCACGGTCTGTATTCACAGAGTGCAGCATCTCTGTGCTGAAGAAAGGAGTCACCCTAAAACTGTCTGAGGCAGGAGTCAGGAACAGAGCTTTAAAACCAGATGAAAAAGAGGAGATGGATGAGGAGACCTGGGCTCTAATTCCACCTCTGCTAAAGACTTGCAGGGTTAACTTGAGCTAGGTATTGCCATATGTCACATCTGAAATGGGAATAAAGAATACTTGCTTAAGAGTTCTGAGGTTTATGTATTTTACTCATTAAAATATACTCTGTCCTTTGCTCTTCCACCAGGATTCAGTAGTTACATGCCCAAACTCTGTGAGATGTTTTCAAATTGCCTTTGTTGGACTTAAAAAATTCCCAGCACTCACCACCTTCTTTCTGTGCCACATTTGGCAGTGAAATACTTACCGTCATTGACTGACCCTGCAGTCTGTAGGCTTTGGGGTTAAGCAATCTGTGGAGCTAGTGTAGACATGTAGGAGTGGTTTTGCCTCTAAGCTTGTGCTACGTGTGTTTGATGGGACAAAGAAAGACAGATGGTGACACATGATGGACAAGCTATCCTCTGCTAATATCAGACTGCAACGTTCAGATGAATCACCTTACCTCCAGCAAAAAACGCGGGCTTTCAGGCATGAATTTCAGTGCCACCAGGGAGGCGATACAGGGCAGAGAGCAGACAAGTACAAAGACTCTCCAGCTGTGGAAGTGGTACTTGGTTCCCATACTGAACCCCCAGCCTGGAAACAGCAAGAGCCAAAAAGTAAAAAATACTGACCAGGCATTCTGAGTTTTTCTTTCCTAAAGCAGCTCTGAACTTTACAGCTCTGTGTGACATGGGGACAGGTTGAAAGTTTGCTATTCTTAGTAATGACAGCTCTTAGAGGCTCGACAGCATGCTCAGTAGATAACAGTGAGTTCATGCTCATTACAGAAAATGGAACATACTTGCTCAGGCTCTGCCTTTTACAAACCTTCTTTTATCTTTGAGTTTAGAAATCGTCTAGTGATAAGAATAGCTCCATGCAGCTGTAGGCAAGTAAGGTTGGGAAAAGGTAGAGGAATCAGGGCCATAATTCATTGTTGCTCAGTGATGTTACAAAAAGTTTACAAGAGTTAAATCTTCTCTGACCTGAGAGGCATGTTAGAGATGGCTGCTTTTCATCTCATCCCTCATGCATGTATTTCACTTTTTTTGGAAGTGAGCTAAGAAAGCAAGTTTACTTCTTTTCCAGACATAAAAACCTGATCTGGGATTAAAATTTGGAAGAATCAAGATCCTAAGCCTGCATTTGGGATCCCCCATCTCCTGCTTTGTTCCTGATGTCTGACCAGGTCCAGTATTCCCCTGCCAAGGACTAGAAAATACAGCATCATTCTTACATTGCTCCATTAACTTTCTCTAGGCTCAAATCTCAGAAGGAATGTTTAATTCCATTTTTTTCTATAAACATATTTATTCACATAATAAGGAAATCATCAAGCAATGGCTTTTGCAGAGGTTTCATCTGAGTCAGTCATGGTGTTCTACTCATTTCACAAAGTTCCAAAATAGCAGGTGGAACATGGGAAATCAAAAAGAGAAGCTATAAAAACACAACATCAAAAAGTCATCTGAAAAATAAATGTAATGTAAATACAAAAGGGCTTTTAAAAACAAATGTAGTTGCAGACAATAGAATTATTTCAACTTGATACCACTATGCAGTAAGTTTGCCTATTTGTTCCAATAGGCTCTGTCATAGCAATCAAAGGCATGAACATGTCTTTATACTGAGTGTACTCTAAACATGGTCAAAATGGATTGATAGATAGGTAAATGTTAGTGTTTTTCTTCATGGTCTTTGTGGCCTGTCCTACTTTCCTCAAACAGGATTTCGCAAACAGCTGGTGTCACTGAATACTGAGGGAATTAATCTTTCCCAGTAGATATTTGGTTCTGATGTTTTCCTAGGATATACACATGAGTTACGAGGAATACCATGTGACATGCAGAGTTCTGCTCCTCAGAGCACGAATATGTCTCAGAGTCCACCCTACTTTTTCTCTCTCACTTCCAGCTCTGGGCAGGGAACACATTCCACTCCTCAACCCAGTTAGGGGAAGTCAGATGTGACTCCAGCCCATCGCATGCTGGAGAGACATGTCGTCAGATACACAGCCACAGGAGTGTGACTCGGCTAAGGAAAAGAGCTTGTGCTGTCCTCATTCCTATCATTCATAGCACCCAGTAATCGCCTGATTAAAGTTACTTATTTTTGATAACTGGATCAATTTTTGCAATATAATCTCAGTCCAGTTTTCCCTGAACGCACTGACATTTAGATTAAGAGTTCAGGCTCTGGCAGTATAATTCAAGGGGTGTATTTGAAGCTTTTGATGCAAAGCAGCTCTCATCAGTCCTATTTACAGCCTTACTATCAGTTAATCAATCATGTAGTCAATTTATCAGACTTTTTGTGTGCACTTCAGGTATCTATTATTTTCAGTGTTTATGCTGGGATGTGTAGGGACTGGCTCACGTTACCTGTGCGGGCTTTTGGGGTAGTGTAGTGATGCAGGAATGTGATGTTGCAAGTCAATAACACAAAACAGTTACCGTAATGTGGGATGATGCTCCATGCCATTGCTGAAGCAAAAATGCCACCGATCATCCAGAACATGCAAAGCCAGCTCAGGTGTTCCCCCCTCTTCTCACGAGATAGGAATTCAGAGAAATAGGCAAACACGATGGGGAGGGATCCCCCAATACTGAGGAGAAAAAAACAGCACAAGGGAAGAATAACAGTCGTCTTCGATATCTTTGTAGTTAGGATTGCATATACGAAGAGGGAAGGTCACACTCACAGACATGCTGCAAAAAAGTGAGACTTGTAGGAAAAATGCAAATCTCTCTTTGGCCAGACTGGTTTTAGGCATCAAAGATAAACAAGATCCTTCTCACTCTCTGAAAGCTGAATTTTCTGTAAAGTTTATATAAATCCAGTGTAATGCCCTGCTCTTCACCTAGACATCCTCTCTGTTGTTATTTTGTGATCGCTCATTTTAGGGAGGCAAAATACAGGCAGGTGATGGGAACTGCTGAGGGTCTCGTTGGAGGCCCTGGCAGTCAGGATTGTAAACCGAGGTGGGCATTTGTCAGTCTCACTCACCTTTCTGCACAATTTGGATAGTACCAGGAGAATGTCAATGACTAAACATTGTTACTGCTAACACTTTCAGGGTCAAGAGTGAGGTAACAACCACACGTGCTAACCAGCAGTGCTGTCCCGGCTCGGTACCAGAGATGCATCTCTGGAGCAGCCTTCCTTCTCCCACCCCGCACACCCAAACTGCTGAGCTGTGATGGGATTCCTCCAGGACATGGGACAGATTCACCAGTTACCCACCCGAGGCCTGAGATAAGGCGGCAGAAGAGGAAGAAACCATATCCCTGGACGAAGGAGGAGAGGAACGCGAAGGCAGCATTGATTGCGAGTGATATGATGAGGCATTTCTTTCTTCCCAGTTTATCAGCGAGGCCGCCCAGCATGACAGCCCCCACCATCATTCCTAGGTAGACTATCAAGCCTGGAAGAGAGACAGAGATCCAGTGACTTTGGTAACTGGGTAGAAATAGTATGCAATGTAGAAGCAGATTTTAAAGTGCCCATATGGCAGCTGATGTCGACTGGGTATACTATGCAATAAAGTAGAGATACCCCCATTCCCCCCCCCAAGATTAGCTATCTCAGAAACTCTATCTATTGGTGAAGCCTAATTTCCCCATGTTCTGCCCATGAGCTTCATTGCTCCCTACTGCACTGCATCATGCAATGTGGACATACCCTCATTTGACCAGACCCACATCGTTCTTTCCCAACCTCGCTGCTCACATATCCCCTGCACGTAAGCAATGGCCAGACATAAGCAGCTTATGATACACGTGTCCCAGCTATGTGCCACCAATGATACAACAGAAGTCTGATGTCTTAACTCCGCTAACCCCCCTGAGCGCAATGCGACTGAGGATGTGTAGGGAGGAAGGTCTCTCTGCTGCTGTTTATATGCAGAAAGCTGTGAGAGAAGAGAGACTGGTAAAGCATGGCTAAATCTCTTTGCAGGTTAACTATCCTACCCATGCTTCCTTTACAGTATATCATCGCTTTCACTCGCTGCTTTTCCTAGTTTTATCTGAAAGAATCAGTCTGTATCTCCGTCAGAGACTCACCGTGTGTAGCACAGCTACTTACTTCGTTACAGAGCCAAGATCTTGTATCTAACTAAAGAACAACTTACAGAAAAGAGTACAGTCTTGATCTGACAATTTCAGGAGAAGAGAGAACCTACTGCTTGTCTTCACGGTTTCGTCTATGGAGTTATCACTCTGACATTGTTAAGAAGAATGGGATCTTCTTTTTAACTTGACTTCATTAGATCTTCTACCATGGGGTCCTCAACAGACTGTTACAGTGACTATGTTTAGTGGCAGGCTGAATAGGAGAGAATGGTTTTCTTCCCCAAATAGGCTCCCTGTTCCCAGTTCACTATGTGCTTGCCATTCAGGCCTAGAAAACCTGGCAGTTGTCCTTGACTCTTCTATTGACACTGCCACCAGAAGGGCCACCTATTATATTGCCTTTTCCTTTATCTGAGAGCAGTAAATAGCACTGATTAATAATGCTCACAGGTCTTTTCATTTCATTTCATTATTTTATTCATTTCATTAATAATGCTGAAATGGAATGGTTTGGGGCAGCACATCCAAGCACCCTGTTACTGCATTGGCAGCTCCTTGGCTTCTAAGCCGCATACGTCTCGGAGCTGTCTACTGCAAGCTAGTGGTCCACAGAGTAGGACCAGGGTCACCATCACCACATTTCAGAAGAAAGTGGTGGCAACCGCTGTGTTTCCTGGGAAGCACAGAGGTGCAAGAGGCTGTTTCCAGAACACCTCCTATATCATCTCAGATACCATAGGCAGGATTATAGTCTATGCCTATAGGCTGCACAGTCCTGCTGTGGAGATCCTGAGGAGGCCTGATCATGGATAGATAAGATCCAGAGGAGCTGAACTAGGTCAGAATAGAGGAATATCTGCTGGGGAAAAGCAGCACTTGCAGTGCAGGGGGTGGTTCTTGATGGAAAAAAATGGTACTTGGAGGTGCTTGGAAGTGCTTGGAGATGGGGGGGCATGTGGTTCAAGACCCAGCTGAGCAGGAGTTGAAGGAAACACCATAACTCAAGAAAAGCAGCAGTGTTCCCTGCATCCCTGGCCCCCAGCGAAGGTAAATGATGCTGAGCAAGTAAATACTCCTCCTTAACAGGAAATAATCCTCTTTGCTGAATGAAGAAATGCAGCTAAAACAAACATTTTTCAGGCATGGTTGAAGAACGTCCCTTTGGAGGGTCGATCCTCACCTTGAACCAAGTGTTTACTTCTCTTGAGAGTCAACATCTTCCCCAGAACCTGTTCTGTCAAACACATCACTTGGGAAAGAAGGTGACGATGAATGTTTTTGCAGTTTGTCAATGTTGAAACAAGATGATCAGTCTGATGGCTGAAGGCTGTTCTGTGCTATCCAGCAAAGCTGGCTAAGGACTAATGCAGAGAGTTGTTTGGCAGCTGCTTCTGTCTTTCTTTCGATTGCGAATGCCTGCACTTGATTTGAAATGCATTACTAAATTAAAAGCTATGCAGCAGAGACCCACTGCAGCATTTGAAGGATGTTTGTCTCACGTTGATCAGAAGTGGAAAAGTTCAGACTTCTGAAATCTCCCTGTACCGTGCAGGGCAGTGGGGTCACCTCTCTGTGAACAGTTCTGCTTTCTTTTGTATCCACACAATGCCTGATGGGCAATCAGGGGTTTGTGCGTCAAAGGCAAAACCTCTGTTCTTGCCTCTTAACAGCCTCTGTACCAGAACTGTGGCACAGGATTTTGCCAGCACAATTGTACCTCCACCATAAGCATGTGGCTCTGTGCAATCAATACCCACACTCCCTGCCCTGCTCTCCTGACCCGAGCTCTCCCGGTGAGGTAATCTGAAGGTGCATAAAGGTTTCAGATACTGATCTGCAGCAGTCAGAGAAGATATGGACACAGCTGGGAATCTGGGATCTCATTCTCTATTAACTTTGGTCTCCAGTTTCTTTGCTGAAGTGGAAATTGCAAGGAAGAGCGGAGGCAAAAAAACTGTTTCAGTCCAAAATCTTTTTGAAGGAAGAATCTTAACGCAGTACTGTGAGGCTTAATGCTTTTACCCTGGCTTCTGAGCTACATTTAATGGAGCAGCTCTGATCGCAGCTAGCAGACGGAAGTGATGATGCGCCCTGTATCTACTCCCTGGTGCACTGCAGCCACCCATCTGACAGTGAGCCCTGCCAGCACCGTGCGAGCGACTCGCAGCTCAGCCCAGCCCACACTGCCAGACCTGGATGAGGAAGAAAAAATGATCTGACAGAGTTCTTTGGGGAGGGGGTTTTTGTGTTTTTTTTCGTTTTGTTTTCGTTTGGTTTTGGTTTTGGTTTTTTTCTGGAGAAAATCCCTGGATGGCAGATGTTCATCCAAATCCTCTTAGTAACAGAAAAGCCCCAGGTCAGGAGGAGGTGGAGAAGGTTGTTACTGTCTTCTAGCTGTGATTTATTGCAGCCGAGTACCCTGGCTGGTGGCAGGGCATCCAGCGCTCTGGCCAGTGGAAGAGTGGGTTTAGCACGGGATGTGGCAGTGTTCGAAACTGGGCATCAAGAAGTGGAGTGGAGCTGCTTTTGTGGGCAGATCCCTTCAGATTCTGACTGAGGAGCCCAAACTTGTGATGGAAAGGAAGATTGTATCTCTGCAACACAGCATCCATCAATGAGCAATACAAAACACAGCAGAGGTGTTAATGTCACGAAGTCACTTACAGGATGTGGCTTTAATTGGTTATTGTATGTGATAAACCAATGGATGCATTGTCCCCTAGAAATTTAAAAAAATTAAAATCTGTAGTAAAGGAAACCTCAGGGACGATCAGAGACTGTCCACTTGGCCAGTTTCTGATCCTGGTTATAGAAATGTGTGTCTTAGGGCTGAGAAAAAATCAGCAGGACACTTTATTATGATGGAGAAGTCTCTTTTTGGGAAGACTGTGTGTTCTGGCTAATATAATTAAAACTTTTGGGGCAGCTGCTATAAAACACTACGTCAGCTGATGGATCTTGGGACCCAAGGTGCGGAACAACGTCAGGCTTTGCAGATTGCTGTGTCCTGGATTAACATTAAGGTGGCGGGGACCCAGGGAGGAGTGGCATAGTTACTCATACAGTCTCCATGCAGGAGAGACAGTCTTCTGGAGAACACAGTAATGGTGTTACCTCTGAAAGGGGTCCAGGTCATATCAAGGAAACTCAATTTTTAAGGAGAATTAGACCAATAAAAGTTATCACTAAATGGTATCTCTTTTGCTGTGCTACTTCTGTCCTCCAAATTTTCTATGGAACAACATTACAATGTTCTGTACCAGAAACTTGACTTCAAACCTCGGCTTCAAACCACGCAGACCTAGACTGTGTTAGGAGGTGTCAGCTTCCAAATTAACACATGCAGTTGTTAGGTGAAATGTTAAGGGCAACTCTGAATAAGCCATTATTTGCAGACTATTCCACGAGTAATGGAGTATAATGAATGCCTGTGGGAAAGTCTGCAATAGCCTCCCATAAAATCAGTGGAAAACCAAAGAGCAGAAATTCTAAGAATAAATTTTGGGTTATGACTCATCCAATGCTGAAGTTATAAGGAAAATATGCGACCACTGACTTGGTTTATTCCCACTAGAAAATCAGTAACATATAGAGCATTTTCACACTAAGAAATTTATTAGCCTTTATTGAAGTTGTGTGCTCCATGTTAGACAGGAATTGTGGATGTAAAAGCTGAAGTTCTAAGAACAAGAAAAAGTGGATACAGTATACAGCTATGTATGCGCTAAACTGTATTTTTACTATTTCAATATGATTAAAAGTAGACTCGTAAGGGTTTTAGAAAGAAAACAAAAAATTCAAGGTTTACCTAAATCTCCATCACAGGCATGAATTCCTTTCATTGACAGTTAATGGGATTAAAGTTCTTAAAAATGAGACTCATCTGAAAATAATCCCTTTCAAGTCAGGACAAGGACTCATGGAATAAATGGAAAATTTGAGCAGAAAAACCCCAGCTCAGTGGGAAGAATTAGTCCCCGAGTCCTTGGGGCTGTCAGGAAGGTGAGGAAGCTGCCTGGGTCCAGGTGGAGGGTTGTCTCCCCTCTCCTAACAGGTCTGCAGGGAGCCAGTAACCACAGGAACATGGAAGCTCCTACCTGCCTTCAAAGCCCAGGCCACTACTGGTACAGCCCTACAGTAAAAAAAGAAAGCTTTTGAAGAGGGAAAGCATTTGGACAACAGAAAAGGATTAGGACCTTCTATGTAATTGCAAGATAGCAATTCAAACTGTAACAAAAATGAAATACAAACACTCTTAGCAGTGTAGCATCTGTTACACATGGATGCACTTTATGGACACAAACAAAATTTTGTGAGTCAGGCCTGGACAATTTAAGAGATGGATGAGGCA